AAAGTTTTCCTAAAACTGAAGAATTCACATGGGCATCAATCACCAAACCAACACGTTTCATCGAGCTTACATCATACTTCGTCCTATTAATGGAAACAATTATTGAATCCTTCTTAAGTTTCCGATTAAAACATATCTTAAGATTTTTAGTATTTATTCTGAGGAATTTGTAGGACAATTAACTACCCATCATACTTACATTACTGCAAGACATCTAGAACTAAATATTCTCCTAACAATACAACTCGAGCAAGTCATTAAAATGTATAACGAAAAATAGAGGGCCAATAACAGATTCCCTAGGCACACCACTGTAAGCAGAGAGGAAATAACGTTTTTACAAACAAGCGCACTCTTTTTGAAGAACCAATGTAGCTGACAGATTAAATTAGCATGACTTATTCTGCCAAATATGTTTTTCTAAGTCTTGTGATAGTAATACACAACAATCAGAATTTCCTTTATTAGTTGTGTCTTGTTACTTTTCCCGCAGGAATTGTCCAGCAGCATCTTTCTGAGAGAGTAAGGTAGTTTTATTCTCTTTTGCAAGGAAAATGTTAAAAGTAAACCGACGGTACTCCTGCAGAAGCTTGCAACTAATCAGCTGATTTGTCAAAACAAACCAATTTGTCCCCCATTAAAAAAATTAAAAGAAAGGAAGTATCACCAATTTTGCAAGTTGTATAAATGAAAAGGAAATTAACAATAAAAGAAAGATGGATTTGATGTATTCTCCGGAGTCCTTTAAAGGAGTTGGTAATGGCGTTTGTCTAAAAATATTGGAAATAGTCATTTATTTTCTTTTTACATATTAATATTTACGGGATATTCTCCCCAGAAGTTATTTTAAAAATAACTTCTATGACGAAAAACATTTTGTACCCAAGTGACGTGATCGTAAGCTCAATAGAAGAGGAACCAAAGAATTAAATAAAACTAAAATTCTTTTGGAAAGTCTTCCAAATCTTACAACCGCACTTATAAACATTTACATCTTTAACACATAAGTGCGGTTGTAAGATTGGTGGCTCTTTCCGAAACCTACGTATGCCTTACCCCTTGGTAAACATTACCATCGTTCTCCACTAATAAACAAACGTTGTTTTTATAAGAACAACAATAAAGGGATAAAGCCCGACCATTTTGCAACAACAAAATACTACGGTATCCCGAACAAACAAGCCAACAATGTCTTTCTAATTCCAAAAAAATATTTTCAAATTGAAACCGCAAAAATAAATAAATAAATAAATAATAGAAAACATCTGATTGAATGTCTAGAATTGGAAGAAGAAATTTGTCCAGCAAGAATTTGCAAACTCTCACTAAAATAACTGTCAAAATTTCTCTTTCCAATCGCTGTCTTTTGCAGAACTTTCGGGTTAACAGAGGGCTTCCAGTAACAATTGTATTGTATATATATATATATATATATATATATATATAAACATTACCATCGTTCTCCACTAATAAACAAACGTTGTTTTTATAAGAACAACAATAAAGGGATAAAGCCTGACCATTTTGCAACAACAAAATACTACGGTATCCCGAACAAACAAGCCAACACTGTTCTATTAATAGACAAGGCACCGTCGACGAAAGGGTTTTTGTTGTAACAGACAAAACCAACTTACATGGTTATGATTCTTCGTTCAGGTTGAACGAAAGCATAACAAGTGGAGAAAGATGTAAATGTTTATAAGTGCGGTTGTAAGATTTAGAAGACTTTCCAAAAGAATTTTAGTTTTATTTAATTCTTTGGTTCCTCTTCTATTGAGCTTACGATCTCGTCACTTGGGTACAAAATGTTTTTCGTCATAGAAGTTATTTTTAAAATAACTTCTGGGGAGAATATCCCGTAAATATTAATATGTAAAAAGAAAATAAATGACTATTTCCAATATTTTTAGACAAACGCCATTACCAACTCCTTTAAAGGACTCCGGAGAATACATCAAATCCATCTTTCTTTTATTGTTAATTTCCTTTTCATTTATACAACTTGCAAAATTGGTGATACTTCCTTTCTTTTAATTTTTTTTAATGGGGGACAAATTGGTTTGTTTTGACAAATCAGCTGATTAGTTGCAAGCTTCTGCAGGAGTACCGTCGGTTTACTTTTAACATTTTCCTTGCAAAAGAGAATAAAACTACCTTACTCTCTCAGAAAGATGCTGCTGGACAATTCCTGCGGGAAAAGTAACAAGACACAACTAATAAAGGAAATTCTGATTGTTGTGTATTACTATCACAAGACTTAGAAAAACATATTTGGCAGAATAAGTCATGCTAATTTAATCTGTCAGCTACATTGGTTCTTCAAAAAGAGTGCGCTTGTTTGTAAAAACGTTATTTCCTCTCTGCTTACAGTGGTGTGCCTAGGGAATCTGTTATTGGCCCTCTATTTTTCGTTATACATTTTAATGACTTACTCGAGTTGTATTGTTAGGAGAATATTTAGTTCTAGATGTCTTGCAGTAATGTAAGTATGATGGGTAGTTAATTGTCCTACAAATTCCTCAGAATAAATACTAAAAATCTTAAGATATGTTTTAATCGGAAACTTAAGAAGGATTCAATAATTGTTTCCATTAATAGGACGAAGTATGATGTAAGCTCGATGAAACGTGTTGGTTTGGTGATTGATGCCCATGTGAATTCTTCAGTTTTAGGAAAACTTTATTTTAAAGAAGTTGTTTGGATATTGCTTTGCTTAAGAATCAGATATTTGCCTCTTGCAAAAAAAAAAATGCCAACACTTGCTAAGCAGATGTAGCATACAAGTTGTTGCTGTAGCAGTAACATATGCTGCCAATCTGGTTCTGCTTCGACATCCAGATTTAGGATATCAGTGATTATCCAGATTTAGGATATCAGTGAGTGAGGCGAGTATGTTTGGCAGATCTATTAAAAAGTTGCAGTGTATTATGCGGACGTTCCGCACAACTGAAAATTAAAAAAAAGGAAAATCTGAAGCAGTATTTAGACCCAAACCTGGAGATCATCCACATTTGGTCAACCTCTCTCTAACCAAACATTGCTTTTATTAGTATTTATTATTACATAAGAATAGCAGCAATCTATCACAAAACTAATTAATATTTGTATTTTTTTCGTTTTATTTTAAACTCTTAGCTGAATAAGTGAAGACTTCATCATCAATTGTTATTCTTCTAGTATAAGGAAGGGAAGCCGTTCGTGAGAAGAAATCGATAAGACAATTATTGTAATCCGCGAGATGACTAGATTTAACTGAAACGGTTTTTAAGTACTGTACTGGATTTTTAATGACTATTTCTTTTTTAGGCTTAAGTTGAGTTTAGGGGCTATGCTCGGATTGACCTGAAATTTTTACCACGTGTAGATCTTTTTAACCCGATTTCGGCAAGGAAATATCCGGTTACCCGGTTATTCGACACGGAAGTTCGGATACAAAATTCGGGTTTTATCCGGTTGTACACAACTGAAATGTACAAAAGGGGTTTCATTTGAAAGCTTATGGGAATACCTTTCTAAAAAGTGATTGGTTGGTTTCAATCGGTTCCGAAAAATTGGTATTGGACATTCCTTAGAGGAGAAAATCTCAAGCGCCGGCCGAAGGCCGACTACTTACTAAATTTACAATGTTTACAAAAACTATGGATCGCGTAGCCGGTGTTGGATATACCCCAGAGGAGAAAATTTCAAGCCCCGGCCGAAGGCCGTCTACCTACCAAAATTACAATGTTTAGAAAAATTATGGATCGCGTAGCCGGTGTTGGACATACCTTAGGGGAAAAAATCTCAAGCCCCGGCTGAAAACCGGCTACTTACAAAAAATTATATCGTTTAGAAAATCTATGGATCACGTAGCCGGTGTTGGACACACCCCAGAGGATAAAATCTTAAGCCCCGGCCGAAAGCCGGCTACTTTCAAATGCTTAGATACATATTAGTGGAGAAAATTTCAATTTCATAACATCACATATATCTTTGGAACTATAAGAGATATCAGCACATTTTGGAAAGGGAAGAATATAGGCTATAATGTAGCATGTACATCTCTATACACCATAATGGGTCTATTTTCAAGTTTGTAGGCGTTTTTCAAAAACTACTGGTATAAAAATACCAACTTTCTTGCATTACTCCGGAACCGGTTCCAATAAACCTATCATATGATAACTTGTTGGATAGGCAATTCCATAAGCTTTCAAATGATTTCCATTTTGTACATAACGGTTTTGCAACACCGGATAAAAACCTTATTTTGTATTCGAACTTTCGGGTCAAATAACCGGGTATTTCCCACACGAAAAAATTACTTTCCCTTAATCAGGTTAAAAATACCCACCTGCGGTAAAAATTTCAAAATGATCCGAGCATAGCCCCTAAACTCAACTTGCTCCGAGAACTACTCTAATTTAGGGATACCTGAATGGGAAATTGGCTGGAAATATATACGACATTGACAAAGTTTCTTCTGGGCTGAATTCCGTAATATAAATAGTATTTTAACAGATATTAAGCATTTGTTGAAGTTATATTACTATATCCAAGACCAATAATCACAAATTCCAATAGAGTTTGCGTGTATATAAACACATGATCATCGTAAATGGACAATAGTAAATTATTTTGTCGGCTTATACCATTCATATTCCATATTTAACGTTTTAAATAATAATCCAAAAATTTATCTTCTTGAAGATGTGTTAAACATTCGAGAAATGGGTTCAAATGGTAAAGATATTTCGGATATATTAGAACTCAAATGAACAAGTGAAAACATCGTATCTCATAGAAACACTTCCATTAAATTTCTCTGGGATGTTATTGTATATATGAAGATCAATTGTCTACATAAACACTTTTGATTCCGAGGAATCACCATCATTTCAGGAAATATAAGGAGAACTAAATGAGTACCCCATATCATGAGGCAAGCTTTAAACAACACTTCTGTAACTACTCCACAAACCTTCAGTATAGCTAAATGTTATATAAAAGAGTCTTACCTTTCTATAGCTTCGTGGTCATTAAGATTTGGTAATCCACCCCGGGCGTTATTTCCATTTTTACGATTTTTTCGTCTGCCTATTATTATAACGTGAAGTTTATGTAAGATATTTTACTACTCCAATATTAGAGAAAACTCTTACGTTCTCTGACTTTCTTTTTATAATCAGGATCACTGCGCCGTTTATTATCAAAATAAATGCAGTACCCTATAAACAATGTCCCAGCTAATCCAGCCGCTATACCAATCGCTGTCTTATTTATTTCCAACATGTTCCTTTCCAAAAAAGATATCAAACCTCCATGTGACAGCTCAAACCATACTTTCTACACTGTCGCTATTAGGGATCCATAAATTTTTTTCTGTCTTCTTTTTTTGTATTTGATAGCCGGTACAAAAACGTAATATCTAGGGCATTACTTAGATTGCCGCGTTGCGTACAATATATTCACCGTAAAACTTTTGACGAACTGTTTTGTAGCATTGTAGAAGAATAAGGGTAGATGCGTCAGCATACATCAAAAATTTGAAATTAAGTATTTAAAAAGATGTCTGACAAAATAAATAGTTTTTCTACTGAGTAACCTAAAATTCGAAGTAGCGTACACAAATATTCAACTTCTCCAATATGATAAAATTTTTTGCACGTCACTATTACTGGTCCATATCTTAAAACTAACCAACTAAAATAGTTGTAAAAATGATCATTTTGAATGTTTTACCAGTTGTAATTTTTGTAACTAAAAACAGAACAGTGTTGGCTCGTTTGTTCGGGATACCATAGTATAGTAAAAAGCAAATGCTAATGCTTAATCCTATTATTGTTGTTTTATAAAAACAACGTTTGTTTATTAGTGGAGAACGCAAAGCTCAATAAGAAAGGTTACTCAACTTCAAAGAAAGTACAAAAATTAAAGTCAGTGCAGGAGTCTTATAGTGTCAAATAGACTTTTAAATATGCAACAGTTGGCTTTGTTTACTTACGATGGTAATGTTAAACAGTGAGATTTATGTATTATTTATTTCTATTTTCAACATACCAAAAAAACACGTTGTTCAATTGTCAATGTTAAAATTGTTCACCTTTGCAATTTCGTACGTCCGACGCATTCGGGTAACGTTCATGTAAATGCAAGTGTTTTATGCTAGGAACACAATTGGAGCGAACGACGAATTTCGCCCTACGCGGCGACAAAATGAGCCGCGAAAATTCGTCGTATGGAACACAATACCGACGAAATTATAAAACAGCTGATGAAGTTGTTTACTTTTTGCTCATTTGTTGACTACAATGAATTATACAAGAACACATAATTCTTTACGTTCTCTATTATAATTTCACTTATGTCCATCTTCTCTATTATAAATTCACTGATATCCATCTTCACTCAGGCGCAAGTACACAAATAAATAAATAAATTAATTATGTTTTTTTTATACGAGTAACAGATAGTAGAGTGACCATAACAAATTTTAAAGTAAAAAGTAACTTTATTTACTAAAACACATAAAATTCGTACAAGTATGGCCACCTTGTACTGTTTTGTTCGCCGGTCGCCGGCGTATGAAATAGAAATAAAGCTAATTGAGTTCGCGGCGACCGACGAAATTTTCGCCGGTGCCGTGATTGTGTGCACTTCCATATACACATATGTGTTTTATTTTTGACGACGAACATACGCCGCGAAAAAATTCGTCGTTCGCTCCAATTGTGTTCCTAGCATTACTTGCATTTATATGACTACTCGACTGAGTACGCCAAATTTCATAGTATAATTATTACAGGTAGCAGCAAGTCCCAGCTGATTTGACTCTATAGTAATACAAGATATGACGTGTTATGATTTAATTCCATTTCTTTTTATGCAATAGGTATACCATTTTTAAATGTAAAATTTCACTGCAGGGCAATGTGAATATTTTTTGGCTCATAATAATAGAAAAAATCGCTGTTGTACTTAACAAAATACCAACTGCGATGGTGCGAAAACGTTTTTCGTGGTTAAAAAGGAGTGACACCCTACTAAACAACATAGTTGTACATTTCATGTTTCCTTAAATTGCAAAATGTAGAGTACTTTATGTGAGTATGCAGTTTGCTTTGAATTTGAAAGGGATGTTGCTTTTTCCACGATTTTCTAGCTATTGCTGGAAGTGTTGAGAGATTAGGACGTTGTTATGGCATATTTTATGATATACGTTTTTTAACAAATTAAAATAAATAAAATTTTTTTTCATTTAAAAATTTTATTTCCTAGAATGTTTGGGCAGCTTATTACCACCAGCTGTGTTGATGCGTCTCCTTGTATTATTTTATCATAGTGGAGATTTAACAGGTACATACAACTATAAAAATAAAGCTTTGAGGCTATGTCCGCTTCCTGTCAGAAATAGTCAAAGTAATTCGCAAAAAGTTGTTTTCATAATGGTTAAGTAAGAATTGTCTCTATTTATTTAAAATGGAATCAATGTGCAGTTTGTTGCACCACTTATCATATTGTACATAATACTTATTATTGCAAGATTGAAATGTCAATGTTAGATTTCAACGAATTGGCGCTAAGGCTGTGGTAGCTTACTTACTTCAGTCTGTCTTGATGATTCCGTTTTGGTTATTGATTGAGTGTTCGTGCTCAATATTGTAACATTACACGTTCCTTTGTAATTATTGAGGTAAAATTTCGTAACCTATTGATTGGAACCTTAATAAAGAATCATATATTTAATTGAGTAAGAAACTAAAGGGATAGTGTTGTATTATTTTTTCTCCCCTTTATCGGATCGTATTAACATTTGATCGTTTCGAGCCGGATTCATCCTATTAGAGTAACATTTGGTCCATTCCAGCCACGATTGATAAACGAGCCACCAACATATATTTGGGTATTTCTATTCGTTTACTTTATTACCCAATAAAACAAGGCTAACACGGATTTTAATTACCATTGAATTAAAACATTTTTATTAAATCAACCTTAAACTTAAATTAACAAACTTAATTTAGAAATGCGTAGATGAGAAATATGGTGTGCACTGCAGCGCTGCCGACAGGAAAAGGAGAAAATTCTATAACCAGTAAATTGTGATTGAAGGTTGCCACATCACTCCCCTCGCTAGAAAAGGGAGCTACCGGGAGCTTGATGCGTCTTCCACAAGTTGTAGCTTTGATGATATACTGAGGTGACTGAGTGAGTGATGTATCAGACGAATATGTGGCACCGGAAGAACAATCTGGAATCGGAGAGCTGAAAGTTGAATCAGCAGTAGAAGCTTCTTCAAAAATGTTTGAAGTGCTAGGCACGGGATCATTTGTCGAAGGTATAGTTGCTGTTTGCTCGGTTGAGCTAGAAGATTCTGACGCTGGCAGAAAAAGGGGCTTTAAACGATCGATGCTGACATTTGTCTTTCGACCCCGTATTACAATTGTGAAGAACCTCGGGAATCGTTTTAAAACGAAATACGGGACATCGTAGGGATGAGTCAGAGTAGGACGGATTGAGTCGTTTCGAACAAAAACGTGTGTTGTTGACTAGAAGTCTCTAGAAACAAATGTTGACTTTGCAGAGTGGTGTGCAGTTTGCATAGATTGAATATTTCTCATGGCGTTGCGAAAATCAGCTACTACATCGCTAGTGCTTGTAGATTTGATTTTTAAGAAAAATTCTCCTGGGACCCTTAACGCTTTTATGTCTGATTTGTACATCACACGAAGGCCAAGTAGAATCGTTGGGAGATGATGAACCCATTTTGATGAATCGATACATAAGATGGCAGCTTAAAAAGTTCTGTGTCACCTCTCTATCAGGCCGTGGGCTTGAGGGTGGTACGGCGTTGTCTTTAAGTGTGTAGCTCCAATCATTTGCAATAATTCCGTAAAAACTGATAACTGGAACTGTCGACCTCTGTCGGATGTGATTCGCTGTAGCACTCCAAATCTGGAAATCCAGTGCGTAACCAGTCCTCTGACTACCAGTTCAGCGTACATGTCGGGTAATGGCACGGCTTCAGGCCATCGAGTAAACCTGTTGATTATTGTCAAACAATACCGCTGCCCTTCACAAAATGGAAAAGGCCCAACGATATCGATGTTGATGTGTGAAAATCTCTCGGTCGGCGGGTCGTACTTGTCAGGCGTTGATACTGAGTGTCGCTGTATTTTCGGTCGCTGGCATGGGAGGCATGTTTTGAGGAAGTTTGCAATATCCTCTTTCATACCAACTCAAACAAACCTTCACGTTACTAATAGTATCGTAGCACGTATTCCAGGATGAACTGGGTTGTGTAACGAGTTTATAATTTGCTTTTGAAAAACTTTTGTGATGTATGGCCGTATTCGTGACGTGGACGTATCACACACAATTTGTTCATCACAGCCTAATATATCCAAATACTTTAGTACTAGTGAATTATTAGACGTACCTTGTGGTTTTAAAATATCCTGCAGTTCGCTGTGATGTTGTTGATGACATGTTGCCCGCGCCGGGAACAGAATGAGCAAGCAATGTAACGTTGCACAACTCAGTTTTACAACGTTCAAAAGCACTCTCGGTATTTGAAGACCACACTAATGGTGTTTTGTACTTCGTTTTATTACCTGTAATCATGTCTTGCAAAACTTCTTGGTACGCGATGGTGTGCGGCAAAAACTTTCTGTAAAAGTTCATCATACCAATGAATCTTTTAAGTTCTTGTGAGTTGAGCGGCTTCGGATAGCCTTTTAGCACTGCAACCTTTTCGGGAGAATGACGAATTCCGTTGGGTGTGACGGGGTGACCAGGAAATGTAATTTCAGGCTTACCAAACTCACATTTTTTGACGTTAGTAGCTAGCTGATTGTCTCGAAAGCACTGAAATACAAATTGGAGATCACGACAATGTTGCTCCAAAGAGGCAGATGAAACGAAAATATCATCAACGTACGGAAAACACAATCAACATCTCTGAAAACGTCATCGGGCGAATCGAAATTTTATGAAATGTTTTTTGCAGATCGATTTTCGAAAATATTTTCTGGCTACTTAAATTGTTGGTGAAATCGGCCAAATATGGAAGGGGGTACTGGTCTGGTAAAGTTTAAGCATTAAGGGCATAATAGTCACCACATGGTTTCCATGTTCCATCACTTTTTCTTACCATAGCCGACTACTCCAGACGCTTTGGACGACTGACCAATTCCAGCTTCGGCAAGGAAATTGGATTCTTTTTTTGCAGCTACATGTTTTTCAACTAGCAATCTTCGAGGACGACAAAATGTTGGCCGGCCAGTCGTTTCAATTCGCATAAAAATGGTTGATTTCGTTTTGGAACCGTAATGTTATGTGCTGAAATCCCTCTAAAAGATCCGCAAACGGGTTATTCGTGCGCAACGTTTTAAGGCAGACAATCGTTGAAGTCGACGGTAGTTGTAGCTGAGAATCGTTACCAGTGATGTTGTCTATTAATCGGTTACGACGCAAATCAATCTGCAGATCATGATGCTTAATGAAATCCGAAACAATTATCGGCGTGTTTACACCAGCAATTATAAATGACCAATAAAAATTTTGTTTTAAACCAAGGTCCAGCTTTAAACGTGTTTCACCTACCACTCTAATCGGCGATATACTTTCAAAGAAAGAGGAATTACGGAGACGTCGGCATCATTGTCAACCAGAAAATTTCTTCGAGTCCAGCTGTCAGTAACTTGGAGGCGAAAAAATTGACATTTGGTGGAGGATTTTTCGCTATAACCCACCACCGGCCAACAAGGTCAGTTTGATGGGTGCGACGCAACAGCGAACACCTGTCGCTGCTTCTGTTTGCACGGACTGCGACACTTTGTGGCATTGCACCCATACTTCTTGTGGTACCAACACTCATCAATATTGGAATTGTTATTTCCATCGGATGGCTTTCGCCGGGACTGGGAACGATGATGAGTTAGCTTGCGAGGTCGAGAACAGGACCACGTAGTAAATTGCTCGAATTTTTTTGTTTAACTCCGCAATAGCAGTACGCAGTTCGTTTATGCGGCTGTCCTCGTCTTTTGTGACCTTACATACCTATGTTGGAGAGACAGCGTCTACAGTTGAGTCTACTTTTTGGTTAATTCCACTATTGTGCCCGTTGACGCTGCTACAACAGGTTGTGCAAATGTTGGGAATCGTTTCGTCCACAAACCTTTAAGTGCAGCTTTTCCACTTGAGTTACCTGCTCTCAAAGAAGAGCTCGGAAGGTTTTTTTTGTCGCCCAAAGGCATTTCGGGCAAAAGCCGGTTTGGACGTCTCTGTTCGCTGTCGGCAAAATGGTCGGTAATTTTTCATTTGACGTATTCGAATCGATCGGATGCTGGCATATTTGCGATGATGTCTGACAATTGTGCAATGGTTTCTGGCTTTAAAGCAGCAAGTACTGTAGCGGCCTTTTGCTTGTCATAGGTTATGCCCGACGTACTAAAGCAAAATTCCATTGAAATAAACCAAGCTTCCACATTTGTATATCACATTTCTTGAAATGGCAAACGTGCAATGTAAATGGCTGATACTGCCTATGCTGTTACGCAAGGATTGCGGATCTTTTTCATTTTGGATGACGACAGTCGATGCTGTTGATAAATCGTTGTTTTCCATCTTCTGATTGCAATTTTTTCTCGGGGTCACAAATTTGGTTATTTCTATTCGTTTACGTTGTTACCCAATAAAATAAGGCTAACACAGTTTGTTGCATGTGTTTTTTATTTTAATTAAAAACAAATAATTAGCAGCAAGTCCCTGATGTGATGTGTTTGGTTGCAGCCGGTCAGGAAAAAGTGAACCGGATATGTTAAGCTCGGTGCAGAGTTTGAAGAAATCAGTGTTGCCAACCGGTGTAAAATATGAACCCGAGAAATACAACTCTAATGTAGGGCTTAGTATGCACGATAAAAAGAATTTGATGAATCAGGAAAATTGCGTGAGAATCCCGGAAAATTGTAAATGGCTGCGGCCATATAAAAGGCATAACGGGGGAAAATCGAGGCAGTTTGTTTGGTGTATTAGCAAAGAACACATTTTTATTTGCTAATTAAAAAATATTTGAAGAAAATCTCCCAAAAAATTAAACTAAATTTTGTTTTTGTGTTTAATTAACACATGTGTTTTATTGTTGTGTGTGAATGCGTTTGTGCGAACAAGTCAAAGTGAGTATTGTATTATATTATTGGTGTTTAAATGTTTGTGTGTCCTTTTGTATATTGTTTAGGCAACGCCAAAATTTACACCAACCGTTAAAACCATCTCTGACCCCTCCGATTCTATGAACGGTGGAGGTCAGCCAAAAATTTATCCTGAATTCCTTGGCGGAATTAATTGTTTCCAAGGCAAGGTTTAGTCCAAGTCAAGTGAACTGACAACTGGAACGGCAGCAAATTTAGTCCTGCCTGTGATGTGTCCATCCAACACCAAACCCCGTTGAAATATCCATTGTGCCTAAGTCCGTGATGTCCAAAAACCTGGAATAGTAAAACCAAATAAGTATATGATGACCAGGTAACAATACATAAAAGAAAAAGATCTACTTACCGGCCTTGAGCAACGTTAGTTAGTAGTTAGTGATTAGTATATAATATTTTTTTGTTATTGTAAAAGTTTTAACGCCAGATAGAATGCGACAAGTGTAGGATTACCCCAGAAAATCCTATTAGAAATAAGTTTATTGTGGGATCAAATATTAATGTTCCTTTTAACCACACAAGAGAGCTCTTTTAGGTGAGGGAATAATTTAGAAAAGCGGCCCGAGTTGACCGAAATTCAATATGATAAGGCGGTAGTCCGAGGTATTGACTTATCGATGTGTCAGGTGCTAGAAATTAAGAATTCTGATAACAAGAAATACTGAAGCCAATAAATTGTTTTAATGTCTAAGTGTTTAGATTAATATGCATTGCTAGTGTTTTTTTGTAAGGGAGGAAAATAGGATGATGTTGAAGTGAGGTAAGCGTGTGTGGAAAAGGGGGCCCTTATAAATTGAATTGAAATCTTTGATGAGGATCTAAGGGTCAAGGTGTGGGCTAAGTGTGGGAATTATTAACACCAATTTCCCGTGTTATGGTCGTATGTGTTTTGTCGTTTTATTTTGATTTGCTTGATGTAATTTCATGTTGTACCTTTTCGATTGTTCGACCCCTAGGGCTGATGATGGCAGGGTTCAGAATTCACCACTAAAGCGGTGCCCCGACTGAGCTAGATGGAACCCCATTATAGCGCCTAGCAGGTGGAACGTAACAATATGGTGCCCAATTTAAAAATTATTGTCTGATCGACCAAAATTTTTAAGGCATCAAAACATCAGCCACTTCTTTGGTGCAAAAACAAAGGCGCCAAAAACATTAATATGATGCGGACAAATAAATAGATATGTTGTGCAATAATACCTACGCACAGAATAATAGACCATAGGGTGAAAAATTTTAAAACATAATATTACATTTTCAAAGTGCTTACGAATATTGCATCCACATATTTTTATAAAATCTGTGATAATAGTGCAATATTTAGTTAAGTAATTAGAAAATTAGGATATTATGTTCCATAAGTTAGGGTCTAGTGCAATAGCTCTTGTTCGTTAATTGTAACAATAAATGTATTGTTTTCATGACCTGTATTTTATGTTTCCTGTCCTTGTGGCATAGAGATACAATAGATTAAGGATGACATGTGGGAAAGTGCAATATCTGCTTTGACCATGGGTGTCATTGATTGTATTGTGCAATTTCTCTTAACACGAGATCTTTTTTCGTCTAAATTGAAGAAAATTGCCGTGGTGTTATTTCCTTTAATGTTTTAATGTTCCTTTAATGTTTTAATGTTCCTTCTTCAATACGCCATAACAACCTTTTTTTAAAGGACACTTAATTTTATTATAGCAAATACCACACACTTTATTTCGCATACAACTGAGATTACATCCTATTACCTCCCATATTTGTGATTGCGTTGTGAAAGTAAACTAACCTTGTTTTTATTTTGTTGTTTTATATACATATTTTTATATTATATTTTATTAATTTATTATTTAATTTTTTATGCTCATTTTTGAAACCGTTTAACGCCTATATGTCTACTTGTGTCTTATATTTAAGCTTTAATTGTATTTGTTTATTATTGTTTAAGTTCCTTTTTATTTATCGAACCATATTTAGCAAATGTGTTTTCTTGTTTTATAGTTTTGTCTTATTTTTATTATCCTATATATTTAGATTCGTTGTACGATTTTTATTTATTAACTATTTTCAGTATATATGTTTTGATTGTTTTTTTTTTAATTTTTTAAATTCTTGTGCATCGCAAACATTTTTTAAGAAGCGAAAAATTAGAAAATAGTAAAAAGAGGAGTAAAAGAAATAGATCACTCACATTTGATGTAAGCAGATCTTCTATTTCTTCGCCAATGCCGAAACTAAATAAAAAGTCAACAATGCAAAACCCAAATGCCAATGTCGAACCCACGATTCGGGATCTGTCAGGTCAGGTACCAATTCTGATAACCGGCAGACTGTTTTACAGTCAAATCCATCCACTCATCCGGTCGAAGTAGACAATCTGGTTAGAAGCTTAGTTCAAGAAAGTCTGAACCATGCAACTTCTAATTTACACTTAATGGTACAAGATACTGTTACCAAAGAGATGGAGAAGATATATGGAGTAATAGACAAACTAAGTGAGGCAGTTTCAAGGATTTCCGTTGATGGACGTAATGCTGCCGCAAATCCAACAGTTCATCCTGAGATTACAAGACAGTATTCGCGTCCATCTGACGCGTATAGACCATACAATGATAACTTCGTACCTCAATTTCCACCTCAAAATATGGACTATAACCCAAACCTACATCGTCGAAATACTTTCACCCTCTATTATGACTTTTTCGAATGGTCCGGGGTTGAGGTCGAAAGGTTTGGCATAAACTTTTCTGATAGACCGAACAGCCTTAGTATAGAAGATTTTATATATCGCCTGAAATATTTCCAACATCATTATGATTTAGCATGGGAAGACTTTCTAAATGAATTTCACATGCTAGTATCAGGCTCTGCAGTAGAATGGTTTTGGCTACAGCAACGTAATAATTGTATTTCAGATTGGCAATCTTTAAAACATGGTTTAATCGAGAGGTTTAAAACTAGAATTCAATTGATTCGTTTTTCCACGAAATCAACTTGATGAGATCGAAGTTAGAAAGACCTGTTTCGGAATTTGAAATGATTTCCCTAGTCAAGAAGAATCTAAGCAAAAATCTATCGAGCATCGTCTATTCTATTAATGTGTCTTCTCTTGAACAGCTGAGGGTAGCGTGTTTAGGGGTAGAGCGAACTTTTTTCCGACGGGAACAACCCCCCATACAAACCCTATCAATACACAAGGACCTGAAGAAGTTGTAGATGTTTCTGCAATTAACAATTCCTTTGTATGTTGGATTTGCCAGAAACCCGGTCATGTTTTTCGTGATTGCACGTCCTCTCAAAGAGGTTTTTTCTGTTTTAAATGTGGAAAGCCAAATACTACAGACCCAAAATGCGAAAATTGTAGATCGGCAAACGCGAGGAAGAACGTGGTAATAGCAGGGAACCAACATTCATCCGAACAACCCGCCGGGGTAAGAACTTTAATCAGTCAATTGGGAGCGATGAAGAAGTAGACTATGCTAAGCGTCGACATTATTTGCCACTGGTAGTTAGAGAGGAGAATTATAGAAAAATAAAGGCCAAAATTTTACAAAATGAGACCAATGAACAGAATGAAAATGAAGAAATAACTAAAAACATAAAATCTTAAAAAAACTTTTTGATAAGCAACAACGAATACTAAAACTGAGAAACAAGCGAAAACAATACAAAGCTTTTAAAAACTCTGTCTCGGAGGCTATTTGTGGGTACAATAACAAGAAAGATCGTAGACCGTATGCGACTGTGAAAGTCGAAGGCAAAGAAATTAGAGGTCTCCTAGATTCTGGTGCTACGGTTAGCTTATTAGGGAAGAAGTGTAGAAAACTAATAGAAGAATTAGGGATTGGATTACTTATTAGGATTACTTATTATTGCAAGATTGAAATGTCAATGTTAGATTTCAACGAATTGGCGCTAAGGCTGTGGTAGCTTACTTACTTCAGTCTGTCTTGATGATTCCGTTTTGGTTATTGATTGAGTGTTCGTGCTCAATATTGTAACATTACACGTTCCTTTGTAATTATTGAGGTAAAATTTCGTAACCTATTGATTGGAACCTTAATAAAGAATCATATATTTAATTGAGTAAGAAACTAAAGGGATAGTGTTGTATTATTTTTTCTCCCCTTTATCGGATCGTATTAACATTTGATCGTTTCGAGCCGGATTCACTCTAATAGTAACATTTGGTCCATTCGAGCCACGATTGATAAACGAGCCACCAGATATATTTGGGTATTTCTATTCGTTTACTTTATTACCCAATAAAACAAGGCTAACACGGATTTTAATTACCATTGAATTAAAACATTTTTATTAAATTAACCTTAAACTTAAATTAACAAACTTAATTTAGAAATGCGTAGATGAGAAATATGGTGTGCACTGCAGCGCTGCCGACAGGAAAAGGAGAAAATTCTATAACCAGTAAATTGTGATTGAAGGTTGCCACATCACTCCCCTCGCTAGAAAAGGGAGCTACCGGGAGCTTGATGCGTCTTCCACAAGTTGTAGCTTTGATGATATACTGAGGTGACTGAGTGAGTGATGTATCAGACGAATATGTGGCACCGGAAGAACAATCTGGAATCGGAGAGCTGAAAGTTGAATCAGCAGTAGAAGCTTCTTCAAAAATGTTTGAAGTGCTAGGCACGGGATCATTTGTCAAAGGTATAGTTGCTGTTTGCTCGGTTGAGCTAGAAGATTCTGACGCTGGCAGAAAAAGGGGCTTTAAACGATCGATGCTGACTTTTGTTTTTCGACCCCGTATTACAATTGTGAAGAACCTCGGGAATCGTTTTAAAACGAAATACGGGACATCGTAGGGATGAGTCAGAGTAGGACGGATTGAGTCGTTTCGAACAAAAACGTGTGTTGTTGACTAGAAGTCTCTAGAAACAAATGTTGACTTTGCAGAGTGGTGTGCAGTTTGCATAGATTGAATATTTCTCATGGCGTTGCGAAAATCAGCTACTACATCGCTAGTGCTTGTAGATTTGATTTTTAAGAAAAATTCTCCTGGGAACCTTAACGCTTTTATGTCTGATTTGTACATCACACGAAGGCCAAGTAGAATCGTTGGGAGATGATGAACCCATTTTGATGAATCGATACATAAGATGGCAGCTTAAAAAGTTCTGTGTCACCTCTCTATCAGGCCGTGGGCTTGAGGGTGGTACGGCGTTGTCTTTAAGTGTGTAGCTCCAATCATTTGCAATAATTCCGTAAAAACTGATAACTGGAACTGTCGACCTCTGTCGGATGTGATTCGCTGTAGCACTCCAAATCTGGAAATCCAGTGCGTAACCAGTCCTCTGACTACCAGTTCAGCATACATGTCGGGTAATGGCACGGCTTCAGGCCATCGAGTAAACCTGTTGATTATTGTCAAACAATACCGCTGCCCTTCACAAAATGGAAAAGGCCCAACGATATCGATGTTGATGTGTGAAAATCTCTCGGTCGGCGGGTCGTACTTGTCAGGCGTTGATACTGAGTGTCGCTGTATTTTCGCTCGCTGGCATGGGAGGCATGTTTTGAGGAAGTTTGCAATATCCTCTTTCATACCAACTCAAACAAACCTTCACGTTACTAATAGTATCGTAGCACGTATTCCAGGATGAACTGGGTTGTGTAACGAGTTTATTATTTGCTTTTGAAAAACTTTTGTGATGTATGGCCGTATTCGTGACGTGGACGTATCACACACAATTTGTTCATCACAGCCTAATATATCCAAATACTTTAGTACTAGTGAATTATTAGACGTACCTTGTGGTTTTAAAATATCCTGCAGTTCGCTGTGATGTTGTTATTCTTCTACGAGATCCTTAAAATTTACGATCGCTTGCACGGAATCGGTATGCACAGCTTGAATTTTTGACAGGGCATCAGCTGTTGAGTTGTCTTTGTCAGGTATGTGACGTATGTCAGTGGTAAACTGACTAATGAAATCAAGTTGCCTTAGTCTGCTTGGTGATGCTTTTTCCATTTTTTTGTTGATAGGCGAATATTTGTTACAATGTAGCAAGGGCGTCCTTCAATTTGATAACGAAAATGGCAGACGGCTTGGTAGATGGCGGTTAACTCTCTGTCGTACGTCGAATACTTCTACTGTTAACTTTTTTGAAGAGAAAGCTAATAGTGACATGTTGCCCGCGCCGGGAACAGAATGAGCAAGCAATGTAACGTTGCACAACTCAGTTTTACAACGTTCAAAAGCACTCTCGGTATTTGAAGACCACACTAATGGTGTTTTGTACTTCGTTTTATTACCTGTAATCATGTCTTGCAAAACTTCTTGGTACGCGATGGTGTGCGGCAAAAACTTTCTGTAAAAGTTCATCATACCAATGAATCTTTTAAGTTCTTGTGAGTTGAGCGGCTTCGGATAGCCTTTTAGCACTGCAACCTTTTCGGGAGAATGACGAATTCCGTTGGGTGTGACGGGGTGACCAGGAAATGTAATTTCAGGCTTACCAAACTCACATTTTTTGACGTTAGTAGCTAGCTGATTGTCTCGAAAGCACTGAAATACAAATCGGAGATCACGACAATGTTGCTCCAAATAGGCAGATGAAACGAAAATATCATCAACGTACGGAAAACACAATCAACATCTCTGAAAACGTCATCGGGCGAATCGAAATTTTATGAAATGTTTTTTGCAGATCGATTTTCGAAAATATTTTCTGGCTACTTAAATTGTTGGTGAAATCGGCCAAATATGGAAGGGGGTACTGGTCTGGTAAAGTTTAAGCATTAAGGGCATAATAGTCACCACATGGTTTCCATGTTCCATCACTTTTTCTTACCATAGCCGACTACTCCAGACGCTTTGGACGACTGACCAATTCCAGCTTCGGCAAGGAAATTGGATTCTTTTTTTGCAGCTACATGTTTTTCAACTAGCAATCTTCGAGGACGACAAAATGTTGGCCGGCCAGTCGTTTCAATTCGCATAAAAATGGTTGATTTCGTTTTGGAACCGTAATGTTATGTCCTGAAATCCCTCTAAAAGATCCGCAAACGGGTTATTCGTGCGCAACGTTTTAAGGCAGACAATCGTTGAAGTCGACGGTAGTTGTAGCTGAGAATCGTTACCAGTGATGTTGTCTATTAATCGGTTACGACGCAAATCAATCTGCAGATCATGATGCTTAATGAAATCCGAAACAATTATCGGCGTGTTTACACCCGCAATTATAAATATATTTTGTTTTAAACCAAGGTCCAGCTTTAAACGTGTTTCACCTACCACTCTAATCGGTGATATACTTTCAAAGAAAGAGGAATGACGGAGACGTCGGCATCATTGTCAACCAGAAAATTTCTTCGAGTCCAGCTGTCAGTAACTTGGAGGCGAAAAAATTGACATTTGGTGGAGGATTTTTCGCTGTAACCCACCACCGGCCAACAAGGTCAATTTGATGGGTGCGACGCAACAGCGAACACCTGTCGCTGCTTCTGTTTGCACGGACTGCGACACTTTGTGGCATTGCACCCATACTTCTTGTGGTACCAACACTCATCAATATTGGAATTGTTATTTCCATCGGATGGCTTTCGCCGGGACTGGGAACGATGATGAGTTAGCTTGCGAGGTCGAGAACAGGACCACGTAGTAAATTGCTCGAATTTTAGTTCGTTCGTTTATGCGGCTGTCCTCGTCTTTTGTGACCTTACATACCTATGTTGGAGAGACAGCGTCTGCAGTTGAGTCTACTTTTTGGTTAATTCCACTATTGTGCCCGTTGACGCTGCTACAACAGGTTGTGCAAATGTTGGGAATCGTTTCGTCCACAAACCTTTAAGTGCAGCTTTTCCACTTGAGTTACCTGCTCTCAAAGAAGAGCTCGGAAGGTTTTTTTTTGTCGCCCAAAGGCATTTCGGGCAAAAGCCGGTTTGGACGTCTCTGTTCGCTGTCGGCAAAATGGTCGGTAATTTTTCATTTGACGTATTCGAATCGATCGGATGCTGGCATATTTGCGATGATGTCTGACAATTGTGCAATGGTTTCTGGCTTTAAAGCAGCAAGTACTGTAGCGGCCTTTTGCTTGTCATAGGTTATGCCCGACGTACTAAAGCAAAATTCCATTGAAATAAACCAAGCTTCCACATTTGTATATCACATTTCTTGAAATGGCAAACGTGCAATGTAAATGGCTGATACTGCCTATGCTGTTACGCAAGGATTGCGGATCTTTTTCATTTTGGATGACGACAGTCGATGCTGTTGATAAATCGTTGTTTTCCATCTTCTGATTGCAATTTTTTCTCGGGGTCACAAATTTGGTTATTTCTATTCGTTTACGTTGTTACCCAATAAAATAAGGCTAACACAGTTTGTTGCATGTGTTTTTTATTTTAATTAAAAACAAATAATTAGCAGCAAGTCCCTGATGTGATGTGTTTGGTTGCAGCCGGTCAGGAAAAAGTGAACCGGATATGTTAAGCTCGGTGCAGAGTTTGAAGAAATCAGTGTTGCCAACCGGTGTAAAATATAAACCCGAGAAATACAACTCTAATGTAGGGCTCAGTATGTACGATAAAAGGAATTTGATGAATCAGGAAAATTGCGTGAGAATCCCGGAAAATTGTAAATGTCTGCGGCCATATAAAAGGCATAACGGGGGAAAATCGAGGCAGTTTGTTTGGTGTATTAGCAAAGAACACATTTTTATTTGCTAATTAAAAAATATTTGAAGAAAATCTCCCAAAAAATTAAACTAAATTTTGTTTTTGTGTTTAATTAACACATGTGTTTTGTTGTTGTGTGTGAATGCGTTTGTGCGAACAAGTCAAAGTGAGTATTGTGTTGTATTGTATTATATTATTGGTGTTTAAATGTTTGTGTGTCCTTTTGTATATTGTTTAGGCAACGCCAAAATTTACACCAACCGTTAAAACCATCTCTGACCCCTCCGATTGTATGAACGGTGGAGGTCAGCCAAAAATTTATCCTGAATTCCTTGGCGGAATTAATTGTTTCCAAGGCAAGGTTTAGTCCAAGTCAAGTGAACTGACAACTGGAACGGCAGCAAATTTAGTCCTGCCTGTGATGTGTCCATCCAACACCAAACCCCGTTGAAATATCCATTGTGCCTAAGTCCGTGATGTCCAAAAACCTGGAATAGTAAAACCAAATAAGTATATGATGAACGTTAGTTAGTAGTTAGTGATTAGTATATAATATTTTTTTGTTATTGTAAAAGTTTTAACGCCAGATAAAATGCGACAAGTGTAGGATTACCCCAGAAAATCCTATTAGAAATAAGTTTAATGTGGGATCAAATATTAATGTTCCTTTTAACCACACAAGAGAGCTCTTTTAGGTGAGGGAATAATTTAGAAAAGCGGCCCGAGTTGACCGAAATTCAATATGATAAGGCGGTAGTCCGAGGTATTGACTTATCGATGTGTCAGGTGCTAGAAATTAAGAATTCTGATAACAAGAAATACTGAAGCCAATAAATTGTTTTAATGTCTAAGTGTTTAGATTAATATGCATTGCTAGTGTTTTTTTGTAAGGGAGGAAAATAGGATGATGTTGAAGTGAGGTAAGTGTGTGTGGAAAACGGGGCCCTTATAAATTGAATTGAAATCTTTGATGAGGATCTAAGGGTCAAGGTGTGGGCTAAGTGTGGGAATTATTAACACCAATTTCCCGTGTTATGGTCGTATGTGTTTTGTCGTTTTATTTTGATTTGCTTGATGTAATTTCATGTTGTACCTTTTCGATTGTTCGACCCCTAGGGCTGATGATGGCAGGGTTCAGAATTCACCCCTAAAGCGGTGCCCCGACTGAGCTAGATGGAACCCCATTATAGCGCCTAGCAGGTGGAACGTAACAATATGGTGCCCAATTTAAAAATTATTGTCTGATCGACCAAAATTTTTAAGGCATCAAAACATCAGCCACTTCTTTGGTGCAAAAACAAAGGCGCCAAAAACATTAATATGATGCGGACAAATAAATAGATGAATAGCAATAATACCTACGCACAGAATAATAGACCATAGGGTGAAAAATTTTAAAACATAATATTACATTTTCAAAGTGCTTACGAATATTGCATCCACATATTTTTATAAAATCTGTGATAATAGTGCAATATTTAGTTAAGTAATTAGAAAATTAGGATATTATGTTCCATAAGTTAGGGTCTAGTGCAATAGCTCTTGTTCGTTAATTGTAACAATGAATGTATTGTTTTCATGACCTGTATTTTATGTTTCCTGTCCTTGTGGCATAGAGATACAATAGATTAAGGATGACATGTGGGGAAAGTGCAATATCTGCTTTGACCATGGGTGTCATTGATTGTATTGTGCAATTTCTCTTAACACGAGATCTTTTTTCGTCTAAATTGAAGAAAAATGCCGTGGTGTTATTTCCTTTAATGTTTTAATGTTCCTTTAATGTTTTAATGTTCCTTCTTCAATACGCCATAACAACCTTTTTTTAAAGGACACTTAATTTTATTATAGCAAATACCACACACTTTATTTCGCATACAACTGAGATTACATCCTATTACCTCCCATATTTGTGATTGCGTTGTGAAAGTAAACTAACCTTGTTTTTATTTTGTTGTTTTATATACATATTTTTATATTATATTTTATTAATTTATTATTTAATTTTTTATGCTTATTTTTGAAACCGTTTAACGCCTATATGTCTACTTGTGTCTTATATTTAAGCTTCAATTGTATTTGTTTATTATTGTTTAAGTTCCTTTTTATTTATCGAACCATATTTAGCAAATGTGTTTTCTTGTTTTATAGTTTTGTCTTATTTTTATTATCCTATATATTTAGATTCGTTGTACGATTTTTATTTATTAACTATTTTCAGTATATATGTTTTGATTGTTTTTTTTTTAATTTTTTAAATTCTTGTGCATCGCAAACATTTTTTAAGAAGCGAAAAATTAGAAAATAGTAAAAAGAGGAGTAAAAGAAATAGATCACTCACATTTGATGTAAGCAGATCTTCTATTTCTTCGCCAATGCCGAAACTAAATAAAAAGTCAACAATGCAAAACCCAAATGCCAATGTCGAACCCACGATTCGGGATCTGTCAGGTCAGGTACCAATTCTGATAACCGGCAGACTGTTTTACAGTCAAATCCATCCACTTATCCGGTCGAAGTAGACAATCTGGTTAGAAGCTTAGTTCAAGAAAGTCTGAACCATGCAACTTCTAATTTACACTTAATGGTACAAGATACTGTTACCAAAGAGATGGAGAAGATATATGGAGTAATAGACAAACTAAGTGAGGCAGTTTCAAGGATTTCCGTTGATGGACGTAATGCTGCCGCAAATCCAACAGTTCATCCTGAGATTACAAGACAGTATTCGCGTCCATCTGACGCGTATAGACCATACAATGATAACTTCGTACCTCAATTTCCACCTCAAAATATGGACTATAACCCAAACCTACATCGTCGAAATACTTTCACCCTCTATTATGACTTTTTCGAATGGTCCGGGGTTGAGGTCGAAAGGTTTGGCATAAACTTTTCTGATAGACCGAACAGCCTTAGTATAGAAGATTTTATATATCGCCTGAAATATTTCCAACATCATTATGATTTAGCATGGGAAGACTTTCTAAATGAATTTCACATGCTAGTATCAGGCTCTGCAGTAGAATGGTTTTGGCTACAGCAACGTAATAATTGTATTTCAGATTGGCAATCTTTAAAACATGGTTTAATCGAGAGGTTTAAAACTAGAATTCAATTGATTCGTTTTTCCACGAAATCAACTTGATGAGATCGAAGTTAGAAAGACCTGTTTCGGAATTTGAAATGATTTCCCTAGTCAAGAAGAATCTAAGCAAAAATCTATCGAGCATCGTCTATTCTATTAATGTGTCTTCTCTTGAACAGCTGAGGGTAGCGTGTTTAGGGGTAGAGCGAACTTTTTTCCGACGGGAACAACCCCCCATACAAACCCTATCAATACACAAGGACCTGAAGAAGTTGTAGATGTTTCTGCAATTAACAATTCCTTTGTATGTTGGATTTGCCAGAAACCCGGTCATGTTTTTCGTGATTGCACGTCCTCTCAAAGAGGTTTTTTCTGTTTTAAATGTGGAAAGCCAAATACTACAGACCCAAAATGCGAAAATTGTAGATCGGCAAACGCGAGGAAGAACGTGGTAATAGCAGGGAACCAACATTCATCCGAACAACCCGCCGGGGTAAGAACTTTAATCAGTCAATTGGGAGCGATGAAGAAGTAGACTATGCTAAGCGTCGACATTATTTGCCACTGGTAGTTAGAGAGGAGAATTATAGAAAAATAAAGGCCAAAATTTTACAAAATGAGACCAATGAACAGAATGAAAATGAAGAAATAACTAAAAACATAAAATCTTAAAAAAACTTTTTGATAAGCAACAACGAATACTAAAACTGAGAAACAAGCGAAAACAATACAAAGCTTTTAAAAACTCTGTCTCGGAGGCTATTTGTGGGTACAATAACAAGAAAGATCGTAGACCGTATGCGACTGTGAAAGTCGAAGGCAAAGAAATTAGAGGTCTCCTAGATTCTGGTGCTACGGTTAGCTTATTAGGGAAGTAGTGTAGAAAACTAATAGAAGAATTAGGGATTGGATTACTTATTAGGATTACTTATTATTGCAAGATTGAAATGTCAATGTTAGATTTCAACGAATTGGCGCTAAGGCTGTGGTAGCTTACTTACTTCAGTCTGTCTTGATGATTCCGTTTTGGTTATTGATTGAGTGTTCGTGCTCAATATTGTAACATTACACGTTCCTTTGTAATTATTGAGGTAAAATTTCGTAACCTATTGATTGGAACCTTAATAAAGAATCATATATTTAATTGAGTAAGAAACTAAAGGGATAGTGTTGTATTATTTTTTCTCCCCTTTATCGGATCGTATTAACATTTGATCGTTTCGAGCCGGATTCACTCTAATAGTAACATTTGGTCCATTCGAGCCACGATTGATAAACGAGCCACCAGATATATTTGGGTATTTCTATTCGTTTACTTTATTACCCAATAAAACAAGGCTAACACGGATTTTAATTACCATTGAATTAAAACATTTTTATTAAATTAACCTTAAACTTAAATTAACAAACTTAATTTAGAAATGCGTAGATGAGAAATATGGTGTGCACTGCAGCGCTGCCGACAGGAAAAGGAGAAAATTCTATAACCAGTAAATTGTGATTGAAGGTTGCCACATCACTCCCCTCGCTAGAAAAGGGAGCTACCGGGAGCTTGATGCGTCTTCCACAAGTTGTAGCTTTGATGATATACTGAGGTGACTGAGTGAGTGATGTATCAGACGAATATGTGGCACCGGAAGAACAATCTGGAATCGGAGAGCTGAAAGTTGAATCAGCAGTAGAAGCTTCTTCAAAAATGTTTGAAGTGCTAGGCACGGGATCATTTGTCAAAGGTATAGTTGCTGTTTGCTCGGTTGAGCTAGAAGATTCTGACGCTGGCAGAAAAAGGGGCTTTAAACGATCGATGCTGACTTTTGTTTTTCGACCCCGTATTACAATTGTGAAGAACCTCGGGAATCGTTTTAAAACGAAATACGGGACATCGTAGGGATGAGTCAGAGTAGGACGGATTGAGTCGTTTCGAACAAAAACGTGTGTTGTTGACTAGAAGTCTCTAGAAACAAATGTTGACTTTGCAGAGTGGTGTGCAGTTTGCATAGATTGAATATTTCTCATGGCGTTGCGAAAATCAGCTACTACATCGCTAGTGCTTGTAGATTTGATTTTTAAGAAAAATTCTCCTGGGAACCTTAACGCTTTTATGTCTGATTTGTACATCACACGAAGGCCAAGTAGAATCGTTGGGAGATGATGAACCCATTTTGATGAATCGATACATAAGATGGCAGCTTAAAAAGTTCTGTGTCACCTCTCTATCAGGCCGTGGGCTTGAGGATGGTACGGCGTTGTCTTTAAGTGTGTAGCTCCAATCATTTGCAATAATTCCGTAAAAACTGATAACTGGAACTGTCGACCTCTGTCGGATGTGATTCGCTGTAGCACTCCAAATCTGGAAATCCAGTGCGTAACCAGTCCTCTGACTACCAGTTCAGCATACATGTCGGGTAATGGCACGGCTTCAGGCCATCGAGTAAACCTGTTGATTATTGTCAAACAATACCGCTGCCCTTCACAAAATGGAAAAGGCCCAACGATATCGATGTTGATGTGTGAAAATCTCTCGGTCGGCGGGTCGTACTTGTCAGGCGTTGATACTGAGTGTCGCTGTATTTTCGCTCGCTGGCATGGGAGGCATGTTTTGAGGAAGTTTGCAATATCCTCTTTCATACCAACTCAAACAAACCTTCACGTTACTAATAGTATCGTAGCACGTATTCCAGGATGAACTGGGTTGTGTAACGAGTTTATTATTTGCTTTTGAAAAACTTTTGTGATGTATGGCCGTATTCGTGACGTGGACGTATCACACACAATTTGTTCATCACAGCCTAATATATCCAAATACTTTAGTACTAGTGAATTATTAGACGTACCTTGTGGTTTTAAAATATCCTGCAGTTCGCTGTGATGTTGTTATTCTTCTACGAGATCCTTAAAATTTACGATCGCTTGCACGGAATCGGTATGCACAGCTTGAATTTTTGACAGGGCATCAGCTGTTGAGTTGTCTTTGTCAGGTATGTGACGTATGTCAGTGGTAAACTGACTAATGAAATCAAGTTGCCTTAGTCTGCTTGGTGATGCTTTTTCCATTTTTTTGTTGATAGGCGAATATTTGTTACAATGTAGCAAGGGCGTCCTTCAATTTGATAACGAAAATGGCAGACGGCTTGGTAGATGGCGGTTAACTCTCTGTCGTACGTCGAATACTTCTACTGTTAACTTTTTTGAAGAGAAAGCTAATAGTGACATGTTGCCCGCGCCGGGAACAGAATGAGCAAGCAATGTAACGTTGCACAACTCAGTTTTACAACGTTCAAAAGCACTCTCGGTATTTGAAGACCACACTAATGGTGTTTTGTACTTCGTTTTATTACCTGTAATCATGTCTTGCAAAACTTCTTGGTACGCGATGGTGTGCGGCAAAAACTTTCTGTAAAAGTTCATCATACCAATGAATCTTTTAAGTTCTTGTGAGTTGAGCGGCTTCGGATAGCCTTTTAGCACTGCAACCTTTTCGGGAGAATGACGAATTCCGTTGGGTGTGACGGGGTGACCAGGAAATGTAATTTCAGGCTTACCAAACTCACATTTTTTGACGTTAGTAGCTAGCTGATTGTCTCGAAAGCACTGAAATACAAATCGGAGATCACGACAATGTTGCTCCAAATAGGCAGATGAAACGAAAATATCATCAACGTACGGAAAACACAATCAACATCTCTGAAAACGTCATCGGGCGAATCGAAATTTTATGAAATGTTTTTTGCAGATCGATTTTCGAAAATATTTTCTGGCTACTTAAATTGTTGGTGAAATCGGCCAAATATGGAAGGGGGTACTGGTCTGGTAAAGTTTAAGCATTAAGGGCATAATAGTCACCACATGGTTTCCATGTTCCATCACTTTTTCTTACCATAGCCGACTACTCCAGACGCTTTGGACGACTGACCAATTCCAGCTTCGGCAAGGAAATTGGATTCTTTTTTTGCAGCTACATGTTTTTCAACTAGCAATCTTCGAGGACGACAAAATGTTGGCCGGCCAGTCGTTTCAATTCGCATAAAAATGGTTGATTTCGTTTTGGAACCGTAATGTTATGTCCTGAAATCCCTCTAAAAGATCCGCAAACGGGTTATTCGTGCGCAACGTTTTAAGGCAGACAATCGTTGAAGTCGACGGTAGTTGTAGCTGAGAATCGTTACCAGTGATGTTGTCTATTAATCGGTTACGACGCAAATCAATCTGCAGATCATGATGCTTAATGAAATCCGAAACAATTATCGGCGTGTTTACACCCGCAATTATAAATATATTTTGTTTTAAACCAAGGTCCAGCTTTAAACGTGTTTCACCTACCACTCTAATCGGTGATATACTTTCAAAGAAAGAGGAATGACGGAGACGTCGGCATCATTGTCAACCAGAAAATTTCTTCGAGTCCAGCTGTCAGTAACTTGGAGGCGAAAAAATTGACATTTGGTGGAGGATTTTTCGCTGTAACCCACCACCGGCCAACAAGGTCAATTTGATGGGTGCGACGCAACAGCGAACACCTGTCGCTGCTTCTGTTTGCACGGACTGCGACACTTTGTGGCATTGCACCCATACTTCTTGTGGTACCAACACTCATCAATATTGGAATTGTTATTTCCATCGGATGGCTTTCGCCGGGACTGGGAACGATGATGAGTTAGCTTGCGAGGTCGAGAACAGGACCACGTAGTAAATTGCTCGAATTTTAGTTCGTTCGTTTATGCGGCTGTCCTCGTCTTTTGTGACCTTACATACCTATGTTGGAGAGACAGCGTCTGCAGTTGAGTCTACTTTTTGGTTAATTCCACTATTGTGCCCGTTGACGCTGCTACAACAGGTTGTGCAAATGTTGGGAATCGTTTCGTCCACAAACCTTTAAGTGCAGCTTTTCCACTTGAGTTACCTGCTCTCAAAGAAGAGCTCGGAAGGTTTTTTTTGTCGCCCAAAGGCATTTCGGGCAAAAGCCGGTTTGGACGTCTCTGTTCGCTGTCGGCAAAATGGTCGGTAATTTTTCATTTGACGTATTCGAATCGATCGGATGCTGGCATATTTGCGATGATGTCTGACAATTGTGCAATGGTTTCTGGCTTTAAAGCAGCAAGTACTGTAGCGGCCTTTTGCTTGTCATAGGTTATGCCCGACGTACTAAAGCAAAATTCCATTGAAATAAACCAAGCTTCCACATTTGTATATCACATTTCTTGAAATGGCAAACGTGCAATGTAAATGGCTGATACTGCCTATGCTGTTACGCAAGGATTGCGGATCTTTTTCATTTTGGATGACGACAGTCGATGCTGTTGATAAATCGTTGTTTTCCATCTTCTGATTGCAATTTTTTCTCGGGGTCACAAATTTGGTTATTTCTATTCGTTTACGTTGTTACCCAATAAAATAAGGCTAACACAGTTTGTTGCATGTGTTTTTTATTTTAATTAAAAACAAATAATTAGCAGCAAGTCCCTGATGTGATGTGTTTGGTTGCAGCCGGTCAGGAAAAAGTGAACCGGATATGTTAAGCTCGGTGCAGAGTTTGAAGAAATCAGTGTTGCCAACCGGTGTAAAATATAAACCCGAGAAATACAACTCTAATGTAGGGCTCAGTATGTACGATAAAAGGAATTTGATGAATCAGGAAAATTGCGTGAGAATCCCGGAAAATTGTAAATGTCTGCGGCCATATAAAAGGCATAACGGGGGAAAATCGAGGCAGTTTGTTTGGTGTATTAGCAAAGAACACATTTTTATTTGCTAATTAAAAAATATTTGAAGAAAATCTCCCAAAAAATTAAACTAAATTTTGTTTTTGTGTTTAATTAACACATGTGTTTTGTTGTTGTGTGTGAATGCGTTTGTGCGAACAAGTCAAAGTGAGTATTGTGTTGTATTGTATTATATTATTGGTGTTTAAATGTTTGTGTGTCCTTTTGTATATTGTTTAGGCAACGCCAAAATTTACACCAACCGTTAAAACCATCTCTGACCCCTCCGATTGTATGAACGGTGGAGGTCAGCCAAAAATTTATCCTGAATTCCTTGGCGGAATTAATTGTTTCCAAGGCAAGGTTTAGTCCAAGTCAAGTGAACTGACAACTGGAACGGCAGCAAATTTAGTCCTGCCTGTGATGTGTCCATCCAACACCAAACCCCGTTGAAATATCCATTGTGCCTAAGTCCGTGATGTCCAAAAACCTGGAATAGTAAAACCAAATAAGTATATGATGAACGTTAGTTAGTAGTTAGTGATTAGTATATAATATTTTTTTGTTATTGTAAAAGTTTTAACGCCAGATAAAATGCGACAAGTGTAGGATTACCCCAGAAAATCCTATTAGAAATAAGTTTAATGTGGGATCAAATATTAATGTTCCTTTTAACCACACAAGAGAGCTCTTTTAGGTGAGGGAATAATTTAGAAAAGCGGCCCGAGTTGACCGAAATTCAATATGATAAGGCGGTAGTCCGAGGTATTGACTTATCGATGTGTCAGGTGCTAGAAATTAAGAATTCTGATAACAAGAAATACTGAAGCCAATAAATTGTTTTAATGTCTAAGTGTTTAGATTAATATGCATTGCTAGTGTTTTTTTGTAAGGGAGGAAAATAGGATGATGTTGAAGTGAGGTAAGTGTGTGTGGAAAACGGGGCCCTTATAAATTGAATTGAAATCTTTGATGAGGATCTAAGGGTCAAGGTGTGGGCTAAGTGTGGGAATTATTAACACCAATTTCCCGTGTTATGGTCGTATGTGTTTTGTCGTTTTATTTTGATTTGCTTGATGTAATTTCATGTTGTACCTTTTCGATTGTTCGACCCCTAGGGCTGATGATGGCAGGGTTCAGAATTCACCACTAAAGCGGTGCCCCGACTGAGCTAGATGGAACCCCATTATAGCGCCTAGCAGGTGGAACGTAACAATATGGTGCCCAATTTAAAAATTATTGTCTGATCGACCAAAATTTTTAAGGCATCAAAACATCAGCCACTTCTTTGGTGCAAAAACAAAGGCGCCAAAAACATTAATATGATGCGGACAAATAAATAGATATGTTGTGCAATAATACCTACGCACAGAATAATAGACCATAGGGTGAAAAATTTTAAAACATAATATTACATTTTCAAAGTGCTTACGAATATTGCATCCACATATTTTTATAAAATCTGTGATAATAGTGCAATATTTAGTTAAGTAATTAGAAAATTAGGATATTATGTTCCATAAGTTAG